GAGAGAGAGAGAGAGAGATGGGGGGAGTAAAAAGTGGGGGATGGGGGAAGAAAAGAACAGAATACAAAATTGTTCATATGCCGCCCTTTTGCCTCGCTGTGTTCCCTTCCTCCTCCCACGCGTCCATAATAGTGTGAGAGTGCCCCCTCCCCAAAAACATCCAGACCACTCCCAGAGCAGATCCAGCATTTTTCTTTTATGTTGGCAGCAGTAGTTTGCAAGTCCCTTTTTTAATGGGTCATAAACAAACAGCCGTTTCTGCTGCGTAGCTCTACACTCAGGGAGGGGTGAGGGGTGGGTGTGTGTGTGTGTGTGTGTGGACTGGAGTTGTTTTCTGGCACAGAACTCGAAGGCGAGTGCCATGGTCGAAAAAGCTCCAACTGTGTGTTTGCGGTTGGAGGAGAAAATGAAAAAGCTGGATGCCTTCCAGACATCCTTTCCCATGCTTTGATACACATATCTCTGACCAAATGTATGCTCGGTGTCTGGGAGGGCAAAATGTGCCCCAGTGAGAAAAGGCCCGCCCATGAAAGATGTATAATATCAAAACTGTGCCAGGTTTAGTTTTTTTTCAAGCACGCAAGGAAGAGAATTCTTCTTCCAGGCAATACGATCTGTCCTTACTGGTAAATGTCTGTGCATCCATCATTGTTAAATGATCAATAGTCTCTTCTTCTCTTTTGCCGAGATAGAGTTTGACTGTATTTCAATTGAGTTAATGATCATTACTGTGTGTTTGCCATCATTCAGCAGAGACAGTTCTCCTTCGCTCTTCTTATTGATTCAATCTTAACAGGGAGTAATTTGTCTTTGCCTTTTTAAATACACAGTGTCCTCAGTCCAGTCTAAGTGTAAGAGCGTCACACTAACAAATGTTATCATTTTGTGTCCTGAAAGATAGTTTGAAGTCTTCCTCCGTGAGAACAAGTCACGATGGTGCTGCGGATATTGGTGCTAACAGCAGCGGCGAACATAAACATTCCAGTACCCAGTGTTGACCTCTTGACCTGCAAACCCTGGAACTGCGAGCCAGCAGCAGGAGACCACACACACAGACACACGTGGTGGGGGGAGGTGGAGGAATCTTCTCCGGTGTCCCTCCTTTAAAGATCTTCAGATGCTTGCGCCGAAGACGACTGTGAAAAATTAGCCCATCCTCAGCAGTCTTCCCGCGCAGGGATTGCTGCAGGTATGTCAGAATGTGGGTATGGCTTTCTCAGATGGAAAAGTGATTCTTAGGGAAACACAGCTCTTGTTCTCCCCCAGCCGTTGTGCAACGAGCAGTTTCCTTTATAAATCTGGAGATTGTGTCATAACCTCTTTTGGGCAGCACCCAAGTGTTAAAATGTGTTTTTTCCATCGAGCAGAACCACAATTGCTAAATCCACGTTTAACTCAGCAGACTGAAACTGTTCTGCTGTTCTTTTGCGCTACGAATGAACAAACAACTGGAACAACATACACAAGTTTTCTGTTTCTGTTTTCAAAGTAATGATTTCAAAACTTTGCCGTCAATCACAAACTCAACTTTGTGATTCTTTAGCATCCAGCATGTTGCACTCAGATCTGAACATGAAGGTCTCATTTTTGCCATAAGCACAGAAACGATGATTCATCCCCTCATTTTCCATTCTTTCCTTCTGTCTGAGCAGTGCTGTGCTAACCTCCCCTCAGCTGAAGAGAAGATCGGTTCCTGCAGGCATGTCTGTCCTCTGGAGGTCTGGTCTGGCCTGCACTCAGCCATGACCACATAGTATGAGGCTGGGGGCTCTACTGCTCTCTACCCCCTCATCACCAGCGGCTCCTTCCCGTCCAAGACCTGCCCACGGCTGGCTGACACTAACGGAAGGAGAGCACTCATATAAATATATATAATGTATATATATGTCCACATGTACTGCATTCCGCCGTACACCCACATGTTAAGGTCACTGTCGTAAAACTCTGCACATGAACCTTTGGGCAATTTTTCATAAATATAAAGTACATTTTCAAACATGAAAATCCTTAATTTTGAAATTATTAAATTTCCACCATAGACTGTAGAAAGATAGACAACATGTCAGCTCAGCAAAAGTGAAGCCAAAGTGCCTTGCTCGCCCCCTAGTGGCTGGCTACAGTATAGGTTATGAACCTTATAAACATGTATATTCATTCAAATAACCTCTCAAACTCCTTGTGTAATTGTTGTATCAGCCGAGTGTTGTGTTAGATGAACAACATAGACTGCTCCCAAAAGTTAGCCAAACCATTTCAATTGCTACCTGGTCTAAAGGTCATAACCCTCGCCTCTTCCATGTCAGTGGATGGAAAGTGAATCAATAAAAAAAATGCATTAAAATACTTTTTCTCAAAGATAGTGTCTATCATTTAAGGATGCTGAATTATGTCCAAGTTAAAAAAAAAATTCTCATAAGTTTGATTTTAATTAGTTGAAGAATTAGTTCATGAATTTGATGCTGTAAAAATAGTGTGAAACACCATGATCGTAAGCTGAGACTGACTGGCTATTGGTCGAGTGCGTGTATCAGCAGGATGTTGATACTGCAGCTCCATCCCCCTCTCCACTGCATGTACTTCAAATGTGCAAGATGCAAGCACTCAGTTACTGGAATTCCTGGCTTCATTTCTGGATACTGGGAGGAAGTGGAGACGCGTCACAATCTATTATTTCCACATGTAGAAAAATCTATGATTCATTCCTCTCTGCGTTCATTTTTGGGAGCTGTCAATTTATCAGCGAGGCTTTAGAGGTGGATCACACATGGAAGCTACATCTTTGCCAACACAGACTTGGCGCCGTCCCATCAGAGGCTGTATGTCCATACAATACCCTCCTTGTTTGGTAGACACTGCATGCCCACTGTGAAGTGAAACACTCTGAAGCTGACCAGGAAGTGGGGGATCATAAAGGGTCACCTCCCATAGGCCAGCTTTAAACTTTGACCTTCTGGTCCTCATTCAACCTAATCTTCCCTCTCTCCTGACATAATGAGCAATACCAGTGCCACTCAACCAATGCATGGACAGAATCTCACAGTTTGATGCTGTCAAGTATCGTGAGCAATTATCATCTG